TGCTTCAGGCTTCCCGCGAATCAAATGTTCGTGGGAAGCAGGGGAGGGGGCGGAGACTTTGAGGAGGGGGCGGAGTTGGGGCGGGGCATGGGCGTGGCTGGGGGTGGGGCCGGGGCCCCGTGGAGTGTCCTCCATTTGGAGGCACAAAATATGGTAACCCTACTCTATATTCAGTGGAAAATGTTTGTGATGTCTCTGCATAACAGTAAATAGTTTTCATGTGTTATCCACTTTTTAAAATTTGATGTGCTTTTGCTTCCTTTTTTGTGCTAATGCTGCAAAAGTTCTCCAGTTGTTGTGTGTACATGTTGCCAGAAAAACTCTATTATTTTGAACCACCAGGGGGAGAAGTTTACTTTCAAATTTCTCCAAGCTACAAAATGATAAATGGAATTGTTTGCAAAAACAAAATCAAGTGTGAGGAGAAACAATAACTAAAAACAATTTTGTCCCTATTTTTATTTAGAATTTTTTGAAAGTGAACTGCAGTTTTTTTCCCAATATCTTGAGGCTTGATGTGGAATGCCCTAAATAGCCAGGGAAATATGAGGCACTTAGCATGTAAGGGCTGAGGTGAGAAGGGGGTGTCTTCTGAAGTTCATTTCCTGCACACAGGCTACCCTGGCAAATCACTCTTGTGCTGACTATGAAGAGTTACCAAGGGATCGCACAAAACTGGGTGATGGGCAACAAAATGGCAGATGAAATTCTGTGGTGATGGATGCAAAGTAATGCACATTGGAAAACATAATCCCAACGATACAAAATGATAGCATCTAAATTAGCTGTTACCACTCAAAAAAAAAATCTTGGCATCATTGTGGATAGTTTTCTGAAAACACCCACTCAATGTGCATCAGCAATCAAAAAAGCGAACAATGTTAGGAACTATTCAGAATGGATAGTTTCCTGTCTTATTATCTATCATACTGCCATTATATAAATCGATGGTATGCCCATACCTTGAGTCCTGCTTGTAGTTCTGGTCGCCTCATCTGAAAAAAAGTGTATTAAAATTGGAAAAAGTACAGAGACTGTCAACAAAAATGATTGTGGTATGGAACAGCTTCCATATGAAGAGAAATTAAAAAGACTTGTGTAGAAAAGAGACTAAAGGGATATGCAGGAGGTCTGTAAAATCATGAATGGTGTGGAGAAAGTGAATAAAGAAATGTTATTTACCCCTTTAAATAACACAAGAACCAGAGGTTACCCATTGAAATTAATAGCAGGTTTAAAACAAATAAAAGGAAGTACTTCTTCACACAACACACAGTCAACCTGTGGGACTTGTTTCCATGGAACATTGTGAAGGCCATAAGTATAACTTGGTAAAAAAAAAATTAGATGAGTTCATGGAGGATAGGTCCATCAATGGCTATTTAGATGGTATGGGATGCAACCCTGGGTGTCCCTTAACCTCTGACTGCCAGAAGGTGGGACTACATGACAGGAGATGGATCCACTCAATAAATTACCCTTGTCTGTTCATTCCCTCTGAAGTATCTGGCACCAGCCACTGTCAAAAGACAGGATGCTGGGCTAGGTGGACCAACTAATTTTGTGTTTCAGTGCTGAGGGTAGAAAGTATGAGAGGATTTTTTTTATTTTTCATGCTTTGTTTCTCTCCCCCCCCCCCCCCATCATGTGTGTTGAGCTTCTTTGTAGAAGAGCCTTTGCATTCTTTTATATAATGCTGAGATTGAAAAAAAAATAGGCTTCAACTGCAGGCTGTTTTCGGTTTATAAAATAATTGGTTAAATGAAATGAAAATGCAATTTTTGGATTGAACTGTGAAAATCACAATGGAAGTAATTTTGTGCCAGTCCTGTAGCAGTAGCAGCTTACTTCTTTCTAGGTGCTAGCTCATTTCTGTTGGCTTGCATGTTAAGGGGATGAAAGACAAGGCTGTGACATTCCCCACCCACATGCACAGGCTGGGTAATAAGTGATCTGTAGAGGCTGTTTTCTCTCTCTCAACCCACAATGCGGTCTCACTCTTGAACCTTAATTGCTCTCTTATAGTGTCATAAAGGCCCTAAATTAAGAAATGCAAAAACTAAAGTTACAGTAACAACACTAACTCAGCTACATTTTACACTCTCTGCATTTTATGGAGTATATTTTACAATAAAAATAGTAATTTATTTAGTTACACATTTAACAGGAACAGAACATACCACGTATGCAACGCAATCAGGTTGATGGTGTTTTTGGGACCTCAACTTCTGTACTTCTTGAGTTGCTGTGGGGATTTTGTTTTGAGGTTAGTCTACACGAGAAGCGCTACATTGGCACAGCTGCAGCACATCTCGTGAAGAGGCTGTGTGTTGGCGGGAGAGTATCTCCCACTGACATAGCACTACTGTGGACAGCGCTTAGGTCACTGTAACTTGTCACTCCCAGGTGGCTTTTTCACACCAGTGAGTGATGTAAGTTATATCAACATAAGGGGTAGTATAGACCTGCTCTTTGTGTTTTGTTTTCAACTGGTCAGTCTTTTAGCTCTAAGCCTAGGTACATGGTTTATCCTTAGTTCATGCCTGCCTTTAGCTGAAGTTTAGGCTAATTTGGGAGGTTGTTTTGTTTTTATGAAAGATTTTGTTGTTTTGTTTCGATAAGATGTATGAAGCTTGCCTCCTGCAAGTTATCCCAACAGAAGCACCCAATTTGACAAAAAACAAATTGGCTAAGGAGAAAGATGCATTTTGATGTGTCAACGGAGAAGAGGCTGCAATATACTGCTAAAATCTCCGTTGATTACTTGCTCAGGCATGATTTTTCAAATATTGCAACTTCTTTAACATCAATTAACTGTATTAGTCCCCTCAATGAGATTTAGGTCCCTTTCTAGTTAGTTCATTCTGAAGAATTAAGTGAAATGAGTTAGTTGAATTGTGCATTTTCTCTACTACAGAGCAATCGGCAGCCAAAATCTACTAAGCTGTGGTTTGATTTTTGTGATGTGTATCTTTTGCCATCATGATGGCAAGTAGGACCTAGCATGAATAAATAATTGTGAATGGTATGTATGAAAGCACTAGAAAACTACTGCTTGTTTAGGTAAATGGCAGTTACTGTTGCTGTTCAAGTGACCTTTTGTGTCTTGCACAGCCTCAACCACAGATGAAGACATCGTCCCTGCCCTGTGGATCTTTGTAAGAGCGTATACCCTAAACTATGTTAGGTATCTTGCCTCTTTGCAGGGGAACAACTAAAGGAAGAATTTTAAATCACTTCTGCAAACAGTACTTTTTCAAAAAAAATCAGGGTGCCAGAAAATATAGCCACAAGCCAAATAACAAGTACCAAGGACTTAAAATATCCACAAGGTAACTTTTTTCATTTAAAAAGGCACAAAGTCTCCAGGCACCAAACTTCACCATTTTTTATTTTTTTTATATATATCTGTGCATAAAGCACTTTTGGATGGGAAAGCACTGTGTAAATATAAACTAGTATGTCCTAAAATGTTATATGTCATACAAACAATATTGATGCATGTGGTTTAATTATTTTTAGGAACTGGTGAAACAGAAGATAAAACGTCAACTGACTAAACAGCAGAAAGCTGCTCTGAGACGACGGTTACAGAAAGGAGAGGCAAATGTTTATACCAAACAGCGTCGTGAAAATATGTTCAATATTAAGTCAAGTTTGGATGCTGCTAGTTTCTGGGGCTAATGCATTATAACTTCCAACGCAGTATCAGTATTTTTATCCATGATGCATAGATTATATACTTGCTTTTTTTGGAAATTGGAATGTTTATATCTATAGTCAATAAATTTCATTCTTGCTATTGTAACCTTGTCTTTTTGTTTTGTAGTTTGAAACTGTAAAACCTATGATTGTACCTAATTTTTAAATTAGGGACTCAGTTAAGATAATTAAACTGGAATAATGACCTACAGTATCTCTTGTAGGCACATTTTAGTGTGGATGTTTAGTCTGAAAATTGTCCATGAAGTAAACATGTTTGCAATGACAAGAAATTGACCACCAAAATTATTCAACACGACTCTGATATGCTACCCATCTGATTTATAAGCAGAGGTCTTTGAAGAATCTGTTTTCAGGTGCACATGATACAGTCAGAAACAAAGTAGTTTACGCCCTTAGCAAGAATTTGGGTTTTGTACCTGTACAAAGATTAATAAGCCATAAGTTAATAAGAGAGCTTTGCATCTAGCAACTCCCATTTATTTTACTCTCACTCCAAGGCTTCTTATATAAATCTTGCCCGGAAAGACAAGTAATAAAAACGATGTTGCATAGGTCTGGCAGGCACTCAGACTCTGAATTTGCCTGTTCAGTTGCCAATAAATACAGCCCTTGAACATCTAGTAATTTTCCAGAATCATTTGCAACAGGCTTTCTGGTAACTATATATCAAAGAACATTACCATAACTTTCAGCACCTAATGTGCTCAGGCATTTTGAAAACCTTGTGCAAACATAAACATCTTCATCCTTTAAGCCAGTGGTTCTCAGCCAGAGACTTGGGGGCCCCCTGGGACTCCACGAGCAGGCTTCAGGGACTGTGCCAACCAGGGCCAGCATTAGACTTGCTAGGGCCCAGGGCCCTGAGCCCCACCACCTGGGGCTGACACTAAAGCCTGAGCAATTTAGCTTTGAGGGGCCCACTGTGGTGTGGGCCCCGCAGGCAACTGCACTGTTTGCTACCTCCTACCCCTGGCACTGGCTTTTATATGCAGAAAAACAGTTGTGGCACAGATGGGCTGTGGAGTTTTTTGGGGGGCTCAGAAAGAAAAAGGTTGAGAACCCCTACTTTAAGCAAGCCTAATGCCTAGGCCAAAAAAAAAAACCCTAATGTTTTGTGTCTTTGATTTATTTATGGGGGAAGCCCTTAAGAGAACACTAGTTTCTGTGGGAAAATCAGAAAGGTTAGCCTGAAAATTCAAATACAAGGTTGCACTTTAAAATAAAACTAGAAAGAGTAGAAATACATTCACCCAAACAACCTTAACTCTTCTCACATTTTCCTTCAACCTTGCATCCCCACCACACCTTGTGTGTAAGATGGAGACCTTACAAAGGAGAATTTGATATGAATTTGAAATTTACGGTCTGTGCAGGGCTGGCCTTACCATGAGGCGAACTGAGGTGGACGCCTCAGGTGCCAGACTGTGTGCTACTAGGACCCAGAGTGTAGAAAATGGTGTCTGCTGCTGATGCATATGTATTCTCTCTGCTCTAGATGCACAGAGATGGTGGAGTGCTCTGCTGGAGGAAGGAGGGCGCAAGAAACATAACAGGCTGGCAGGAGAAAAGGTGAGAGGGAATAACAGAAAACAGCAGGAGCTGCAGGGAGAGAGAGGAGGAGGAGCCTCTTATGTACCTCTCTAGCACCCCCAGGAGCCTGGACTGATTAACACCAGTTTCTCAGGGAGCTTCCTTTTTTCCTGCTGCTTCCCTGAACCTACTTGAGGAGAACAGGCAGTCAACTGAAGTAGTAGGAGGCAGTTAGGCCCTTAAGACGCTGATATCTTCCCTCACTCAGGCCCTGCTACCAGCCTGCTTATTTGTCCCCTTCAATTGAGTGTTGAGAGCCACTATAGCTGGTACAGAACAGCAGTCATGAGTGAAAGAAGAAAACACCCCTCTGGGGCAGCATTCAGAAAAAGAAAGCAAGCAAAGGAAGCTTTTTTTATCTAAGCAGGAAGGAGCTCTCCTGAGATACATAGACACAAATGTTTACGGTGAGCCTTCTAGCCCCAGTGAGGATCTGAGTGATGAGGAGATGCCTGATCTTCCAGTTAGTCAGAGTGCAGCTGACCTGGCAGCTACTGCAGCATCCATATCTCCATCTCAAATGGATGTAACCATGCACATTTCTGAACAAAAGTGTTGATCAAAGAAGAATGTGGTGGAGGCGTAAAACAGCTGCTGCTGCTGAGTTTAGTTCCTTAAGTCTAGATGGTCCAGTACTTGAGCAGTACTCTGAGGGACTTCCTTGTACTGCATGGGCCACAGTAAGTGGAAAAACTTCATGTTCCCCAAAGGCAATGAAAATAGAAGTTTCCATCCAACACATTACTGGTGTGAAATCCCCAGTGGACACAAAGTGGAGAGGCCATGGCTTATGTATTCAAAAACCCAGAATGCTGTATACTGTTTTTGTTGCAAACTCTTCCAGTCTTATTTTCCAGCCACCTTGGGTTCTACAGGAACACAGGACTGGAAAAATCTGCCATGCCATGAGAAGGCAGCAAATCATCAGAGAGCATTCCATAGGTGGAAAGAGCTTGAGATGAGACTAAGGTTAAAGGCCACCATAGATAATCAGCATCAAGAGAGGATTGCATCAGAGTCTCTTTACTGGCCAAATGTTCTGAAAAAGCTCATTGCCATTGTGAGAATGCTTGCTACCCAAAACCTGGCACTTCAGATCAGCTGTATGTGCCAAACAATGGAAACTTCCTTAAAATTGTGGAGATGATGACTGAGTTTGATGCCGTACTCCAGGAGCATCTAAGAAGAGTCACCACCCAAGAAATGTACACACACCACTCCCTTGGAAAAACAATTCAAAATGATATCATAGTTACTAGCAACAAAAGTCAAACAGAAGATTGTGGCAAGTCAGCAAGATATTACTCTGTTATTCTGGACTGCACACCTGACATCAGCCATACAAAATAAATAACTTTAATGGTGTGTTTTGTAACAACAACAACAGAACCTAATGAAAATGTCCCTGCAATGGTGACTGTCAGAGAGCATTTTCTAGAATTTATTGACATTGATGATACTACAGGAGCTGGTATGACAAATGTGCTTCTTAAAAAGCTGGAAGATACGGGAATAGCGATAGCTGCCATGAGAGGTCAGGGCTATGATAATGGTGCCAACATGAGAGGAAAGAACAGAGGAGTGCAGGCACGGATCCAAGAGTTAAAACCTCGAGCTTTTTTTGTCCCATGCAGTTCTCATTCATTGAACTTGGTGGTCAGTGATGCAGCATCAGCTTCTAGTGAGGCTGCTGAATTTTTTAATGTAATTCAAAGCATCTATGTATTTTTCTCTGCATCAACTCAGCAACATCTGGGAACATCCTCTCTGACACTGAAACCACTGAGTGCCACATGATGGGAAAGTAGAGTGGACGCAATAAAGCCTAT